GCTGCCTGACCCCTTAAATCGAACTGGGATCCTTTATGTACAACCCCCGTAAAAAGGGCGGACGCCGGCAGGCCACCGAAGGTCTAGAGAAGACAGGTCTTGTTAACTTTTTTGCAAACTTTTGCTCTCCCCATGACCGACCATCTCTCACTTTGCACATCCACCTCATCTCATTTTTCTAGACAACAAATGACAAACCGGCTCCCTGTCCAGTTTTACAAAGTTACGAAGCGTACGAACCAGTGCTTCTTGAAATCTTGGCTGAATTTAAGCGATATTATGAAGAACAATTATTCTTTGAAAATTCCCAACCTGTTTGTCAATTTCGATATCCAATTTTCCCAAATATAAAATTCGCGACGTTTTCCTCTTGCATAGCAATTTGCGAAATAAGCTGGTGACAAATTTCGAAAAACCGGATCCTTTTGAAATCGACAGAATTAAAATAAGTTCGAAATTTATTCCAAATTTGCGAATTTTCTTTGATATCAGTCTGAAAAATTTTTTTAAATTTATAAAATCATACAAAATTGTCTTATTAACATTAACTCGGAATTACTTCTTTGAAAATACTCAACCTGTTTGTAACTTAATAACGATTTTCCCAAATATAAAATCAGCGACGTTTTCCTCTTACAAATTTCGATTTTTCGAAGGAACCGACAGTTTCAGTTCAACCGAGGGACACATTTCAGGAAACATAGAATTTGGCGAAATGAGTTAGTCAAAAATTTCGAAACAAAACCGGGTCTTTTTTAAATCTACAGATTTCCAGTGTTATTCCAAATTTTCGAATTTGCTTTGATATAAGTTTGGCAAATTTTCCGTATTCATAAAATCATGCGAAATTGTCATTTTACATTTTTGAAAAATTCAATTGCAAAAAAAAATTGTGAAATTTTTTTTCAATTTCAAAAATTAACATGATTGCAATAAATTTCGAAATTGTCACTCCCAAAAACTCAATTGTGTCTTCTTTCTCTCATCTCATCTGTCTTATCGTATACAACTTTCCCAAATATAAAATCAGCGCCGTTTTCCTCTTACAAATTTCGAATCGCTTGCAAATTTCGATTTTTCAAGGGAAACGACAGTCATACTTTTTGTCCACCCAAATCAAAAATGTATCCAACTCTTTAAGCAAATTGTCAATTCGAGCCGGCATAAAATAAGTGGAATGGGACACGAGTTACTCGTCGTCGTCGTAGAACTGCCTCGCGTTATTTGTTTCTTTATTTGCCCGTTTTAGTCGGGAAGGACGCGGAGGAAGAAAGATGCATGTTCCGGGTGAGATATGTCCCCATAAGTCGGATAAGCACGAGGACTGTGTGCATATTAGATTATGCTTCTCCAGAAGAAAAAAAGTACTGCAAAATGCTCGTTTTTACAAGAAAGTGGAGCTACAAATAGTTTTCTGGGCTGCGCGGAAGTGGAATAGTTTACATGTCTCGGCTCGACCGCCTCCTGGGGAAAGTCGGCAGGGGCTTGGAAACCCTGCTGAGAGAAAACAAACTCGTTTTAGGGGAAAAATCCACTCTAAATAATGTCGTTATTATATTTCACCGTGTATCAATTTGGATGGGTAAGGGTCGGTCAAGGTATCGTATCCTTCTTGTGTCAACCATATACCATGTGAAATATAGATGGGTCGTCAAAGAGGGTGAAACGCCAAAATTTCATAAAAAATCATTTCATTTAAATAGATTTCAAATAAAATGAATTATGCGAAATCACAAAAAATATAAATTTTCTGAAATATTTTCTGATAGTAGCAAGAACTGATGATCAACTCTGACCCTGGCGACCTTGACCACTAAACTAGTTTCTACAAGGTCACTGAGATTACGCAGGAAATCAGTCCACAAATTTATCTCAAATTACGATCTAGGGAGTGCTTTACTTTGTTGAAAGATAATTTTTTCGAAATTTACAGCATCGAGTCAAACATCAGGTGAATTACTTTTGATAATTTAACTCGGGTAAATGTATGTTTTCAAAAAGTTGTTCCCAAATTTCTACCATTTCAGATCTTTGCTTTATCCTACTGCACAAGTTAATAAATTATTTCGACTTGACTTTCCCCCATTTTATTCCCTATTCATTGTTTCGCTCATATTTATTACGCAATTTTATGTTTATTGTAACATGTCGTAAAATAGGAAAATAGACTTTGGCCCGTCTTGTACTAACTTTCCATTGTTTATTGTTTGTATAAAGTAAGCCCGGTTTTTGTGCCTTTGATAAGATAAGCCCACTCAAATTAACTTACTTAACTTTCCCCGCCTTTCTTCTTATCTATTTCTCCCTCGTTCTGCTTCGGCTTGTTGAGACTGGGGGTCGAAATAAATAGAAAAGGACAAAAATAGAAGAAAAAGAAATAATACGGAGAAGAAAGAGAAAGTTGGACTTTCTTTGGTTGGTGAGTTAACAAAGAAAATGTAGGGTTGCTAAAAAATCATGTTTTTTCATAAATAATGGAAGGTATTTTCATGCAAAGTGTAAATCAGCTGATATTTTTTGCGCCCAAAATTCAAATTTCTAAAGTAGACGTGTAAGGTTATTATGTCGGATTTTTACCGGGCAAATTTTAAATTGTTCACAATCAGAAATTAGCGTAATAATATTTTTGTACTTTCTAGAATGCGCATGTTTTCGCGTGTGGGTAAATTTTTGAGCAAATTCACAGCCAAAATTTTAATCTTTCAAAATTCTGTCACTTTTTGAATTTTAACCAGATTTAGAAAATGTAACAGATTTTTTGCGTAGAGCTAATTTCCTGTAATTATAGAAAAATTTCAAATTTTTTTAAATTTGAAATTTTCATACTACTTCTGAATCTTTAAAATCTTAAAAATGCAAAACATTTATTTTTTAATTAAAAGTTTAAAAAAATAAATCTTTGTAGAATCTTTTTAATCCCACAAATTTCTAGTAAATGCGATGTTTATAAGAGAAATAGAAATCTGCGTAAATTTGCGATAGATTTGATGACTTCGGTTGTTTCGTAATTTTGCAGAAAGTGACAGCACTTGGGACCGTGTGTCATCCACACCGCATCAAAAAACCCCCAAAAAAGCTGACTCACTAAATTTGACATAAAAGCTTTTTCTGCAAACCGTGGGATTTCTGGAGCACTGGAAAAATTGCTTGAAGCCTTTTATTGATCTCTTCCCCTCATAGTTTAGCTTATTTGTGTTTCACATTGTTAGTAAAGTTTAGAGGGAGACAGAAGAAGCGAAGTTGATGAAGATGTCACCCTGGTCATGTCATCTGCCACTCGGTTATTATTATTATTGGCAAACCAAGAGCAAAACTTGTGGCGTTTTTCGAGAAAGAAAGACTGCAGTAATTTCGCAACTTTTGGCACATTTCGTCCCAAGAAGTTGCATTGTTTTGCTTCTCTTTTGACTTTTGAGAAGTCAATATTGTGCTGAAATATTGGATTTCTTATTTTTTTGTTTTTGCATGTAAATTATGTTAGCTTAATACAATTCGTTTTTGCGTATAAATTTTATCAATAAATAAATTGAGGGATTACTCTGTCGTCGTAAGTAATTGGGTAAATTGTGAGGATGTAAATTTCCAGAAATTTCGGAGGTAAATTCAGGATAAAGATAGAGAATACAAATTTTACCAATGTTTTTAATTTCGTTGTATCCCACAACTCAAACAATTTATATTTAGCAAACAGAAGTAGTTCGAAAATATTGTGAAACTAATGCGCCAGTGTAATTTTATAATTTTTTTTCGTTACTTTAACTGGGATTTAGATTCTGGAATAGGCTGGTGGTTCACAAAAATAATAAATGTAATTTTCGAAAACACGTGTTCCACGTAATTTACATATACAGGCATAAATTTTGCCTAAATAAATAGTTATCTATGTATCTTCTAGCAGTTTTCATGCATGTTGTATGACAATAATACCTGATACTGACTACCAGGTAAATATGATAGTGAATGACACCGGAAGGTAGTAAAACGTTCATCATCCGGTGGTCCCCTTAAAAAAACTATACATTCCCACCATACCTTCTCATTTGAAGTCATGGGGGGATTTTATTTTAGATTTGTTTATATAACTTCTTATGCTTTATGATTTGCAAAATAAGTTGGCGCAAATTTAAATGCCATAAATAATTTTCTGATTGAAAGATATATGGTAGATCTGGGATGATGTAAATGGAAGTAATTCACGCAGGTCTTGGTAAAATTGTAAATTCTGGAAATTTTGGAAATTTCTACCTTTGAAATATAAAAGCAGACAAATACTTATAAGGAAAATTAGCTTGCAAACTTTAAATAAACTAGTTTGGTTTATTCAATGTTCACGATAAAACTTGTTTATTATTATCGGTCCAAATTTAATAATTAGTTTTCATTTTCACGATAATTTTGGTAGCATCTTATCGACATACACATTTCATAAGACAATTTTTCTATGAACAATCAATTGATTAAATACTTATTTTCATTAGGAAGCGTACATTTGATCAATTTTCGGAGGATTTTTGGGGTAAATATTTTACCCCACATGGCATAAATTAGGATAGGCTTGCTTGACTCCTTGAACCCCAGTGAAATCAATCACTCGCTTTCTGCTCGGTCCCTTCTGCAAAAATTGCATGATTATTCAAATTGAGCATGCCAAATTATTTGCTCCCTTACACAATCCTGTCCCCAGCAAATTTTGTACGAGCATTTCATTTCGATCAATATTTTCAGTCACGTGGAATAAAGACGAGAAAGTATTACAACTGGATAAAAATATGTAAAACTGGAGAGCATTTTATTACCAAAAATATTAAGAGGAACGTTTATAATATGGATGAATGAGTATGCGGGTGAGGAGAATACCCGGGTAGTAGCTTAGTCAGTCGGAGAGAATTGTATAACTTGAGTTCACAAACGGCAAGGCTCCCATTTTTCGTCCCTGTCAGCCTACCCCAAAAAGTGGATGTTCAACAAGACGAGAATTCAGTCCCGTGCCAGTGCTCGCCGAGTGAGGACTGCGGCCCTGCTGTGAAATAATCTCTACTTAAATGAAGACCTTGGAGGGTTCGTTGTGTAGGAAAAATTGTGAGGTTGTGAAATGAGAATACGTGGAATTTTACCTGATACGACAAAAATAATGTAATGTCGTGACTGGAGTAAATTTACAATTTTTTGCAGTTTAGTGAAAGTTGAAAATTTGTAAAGTTAGGACAAAAGCCAAAAAGTTAAAGACTTATATCACTCAATTAAGATTACTAATAAGGTTATTTATGTAAACAGTTAAAATAAGAACCGTGTTAAAGTAATAAGTGTTCGTAATTGGTAATAATGATTAAATTACAACTTTAATCTTTATATTGAGGATAGTGATCCGTGTACATAACTGATCTTCTGTATTGCTGGCCCCTGTTTGGGGAACGTTCGTAAAAATGCATACCATGCAATACTTTAAACTTTAGAGATACGTATTTACATATCTGCGAACAAATGAACTTTTATTTAAATTAGGTAAATATCGTACAATGAAATTGACGAAAATTTGACCTTCCTCAACGTCAAACACAACTCAAACCCTAAAAAAATGCGTTTTTGGAGTAAAAATAAATCTAATATATTATGGAAGAAAGGAGTGTGATTAAAGCTTGAATTCGTAATTCGCTTTCTCTTTCATATTTAACTGAAAATTCGCAAATTCACCTCAATCAAGGAGAAAGTATAGGAATTTAGGGAGAAATAATCAAAATTCGTTATGTAAGTTACGCCACTTCTTGACTCATTTCTCCAAATGAGAGTCTCATTATGAGACACCTTTGCTGACTGAACTGCACCTCAAACTGATACGTTTTGATACATAATTAGTCCCATATTTACGATATAAAACTTGAATTATAGTGATTTTTCGAGAATTGCCGTCAAAACAATGCCCCTTCTTCTCACCCCACAAATAACCCCCACTCACACATCGTAACAATGCATCAAGCCCGCGGGGGTGGTGGTGGTGGGGACGTCTACTCATGGTTGACCCGGCTTGACCTTGCCCACCACTTGGACGCCTTCCTCTCCGCCGGATATGACGATCTTGCTCGTTGTCGTCACATCGGAGAAAGTGACCTCGCCGCCATCGGGGTCACAGATATCCACGAGCGCCTCGCTCTTCTCCAAGCCATCCGTCTCCTCCATTCATCCGCCGCCGTGACCCCCTCGTCCAAACGGGTCAAAGGTCAAGGTCTCCCACCACGTGAAGAGATCGAGCTAAAAGTCATCCCATCAAACAACAGTCATGTCCTTTTTTACAATAATAACAACAACAATAACGGTTACCACCATTTCGGAAGTGCAAGTCAAGGTCAACAGGGTCATCTCGGGGTCAAGTATCACTTGGAGGATGCCTTCCTGCCAGGTGAAAATGGTGATGCTGATTACTCCGAGTGTGCAGAATTTGACCTGACGCGGTGCTACTGTGAGGGAGGTGGAGGTCAGTGTGGTGGTGAGTGCAGAGGGGTCATTGACCCCGAGCCCTTCTACGAGTCTGTCCTTAGTGGTCGTCCCCAAGTGGGTGGTGTGGGGTCAACCGGAAGTGGGGCTAATTTAGTGACGAGAAACCAGTTTGAGTTGCAGACTCATGGGAGAGATTGTAATTCTGGAAATTCGGGAAAGTTGCAAAGTTTCCGAAATCAGTTGAGAGATCAAGTGAGGCAGGATGGTATCAATTTTTCGAGGGTGAGAAAATCTTTATTTACGACTATTTACGCATCTGTGAATAATGTTGTGACATTACTCATTTTTACAAATTTTCATTTTCGACGTGAATGTTTTTCATTTTTATTTTCATTTCATTTTTCAGGTGTAATTTTCAATTATTCATCCCATATTCCCAATACACCTTGACATTTTAAAGTTTTCGGTTAAAAGTCACGGCACAATTGTACTTAAATAGAACTGTTTCCACCAGAATATTAATTTCTCTCTCTCTCCTAATCCACCTCCCTCATTAAGTCCATTTTCCCCTAATTGCCGTCAAACATCTACTCCGAACCAACTTGTCTGGACAATTAATTTTCCAAACTCTGCAATAATTTGTCCCATTTTCGTAACAAGGAAAACAATTAATTAAATAATGACTTCTCCTCCTCGAGTCCATTTGGCCGAGTAAGAAGACGGAGAAAGTATCATAATTATAGGATACCCGGGCATCCATATTCACTCCGAATACCATTCCTCCCTTAAAACCCGGTCACAAGTAATTAATAAGTAAATAATTTAGTGGGAGCAATTAAGAACACTCTCTCACTCACTCGGTCTGGAAATGAGGAATTTGCGATCGGATCGGAATTTCCAATCCAAATAATAATATTCCATCCCACGAACCACCTCGGCAAACTAATTGCGGAGAGAGATGAAATGTTGGGTTGAATATTCTCTGGAGGGTGAGATATACATAATTTGGCTACTACCCGGGTAGTAGTATATGTCACCCGGGTAGTAGTAGGGAAGAAACAAAGGGTTAAATTCAGAGAATAATGGAATTCATCATGTATCTCGGTCTCGTCTAGAATTCCAAATTTCGTGTCTGTTTTTCGAACCGTGTGAATGTGTGACTCATATTTCGGGTGATGTATGTGTGTGCTTCAATAATATGCTGAATTGAATCCTCCGGGGGTTACAGGCTCGATCGTGTGTCTTATATAATCCGGGATTGGATTGGATTTGCTTGGTTCCCTTTTTGAGGCGGGATACGATTTAGATTTTGGTCTTTGTGATGATAATATCAAATAAATAGTTGAACAAGGAATAATGAAGAGAAGGAGACCAGAGGAGATTTAAATTCGTTCATATGAATTGAAGTGAGCAGTGAATGAAGGAGAAATATAAATTTTGATAGATGAATGAATATTTAGTAGAGATAAAATTTTTAGCTTTTTGAAATACCTCGATTAAGATTGTGGTGTTGATTTCGGGTTTTACAGGTTTTACAAATTTTTACGGACATAATATTTATTTGGATTAAGTTAAACGCCGAAATTTAACATTTCAATTGGTAATGTATATCGTCCGAAATTATAGATTTCAGAGATAACGATTCATGAAATATGTATGAAAAAAGAAGTGTTGTAAATGAGATTTGTCAAACAAGTGAAGAATCTCCAGTATTTCGACCTAATGTGGTCTGGATGGAAATTTTTGTCATCGAATTGTGTGGATTTTTGCAAACGTCTAATTTTACAACAAAAATAAATTGCGAACAAATAATGATTACTATTTTAGTTCGAGCTTGTCGACACTTGTAGCGTTTTTACCTTCAGTTGCATAAATATGACTTTAATATTTGCTCAATCGAATGAATTGGTTCTCCCACTAATCTGCATGTTAAAGTACATTCTCCACCTCCACCGTAAAGAACAATGTACACACACTTTTAAGACCCATTTCATAATCTAAACATACTTTTACTGATACTCTCATGCCCCACAAATTACACACTTTACCATTGTTTATTATTGACTCAGGCTGCACTTTACTCTGGTGGAGGTGGACGTGGAGGCACTCACCTCAAATTATTCAATCATGAATGAAACCCTAGGAAATCCAGATTACCAACTTTTATTCACTTCTTTCCAGAAACATTACGAATTTTTACCTGCTTAAAATTTGTCTCGGACTAAATCAGAGCTCAAATTTTTAGCCAATTTTTCCAAATCTGTCCCAAAACTTTGACTTGAATACGCCCCGTACAACTCCTTTCGTTTTCTTACCGTTTTGACTTGGTCGTTACTTTGTGTGCTCCAAAATAATGAATCCTCTACCCAATCCAACCCTTTTGTTTTCCTTTCTTTAATGTTTAAACAGGCTTAATCAGGCTTTGGCTTCCACAACTGCACTTGTGTTGTTTGGGTAGGAATTATTGCTGAAAAGAGGACACAATGTACAAACAAACATTGCTTTTCTCCTCCTGGTTGTTCTTCTTATCATTAAGAGTTTAAGACTTTGGCCGGGTCGTCCTGTTTGCACTGTTTGGTGAGAGGAAGGAAAGTGTGGGGAGCAGAATAAGTAAATATCTTCTTCTACGACAAAGACAAAATAGCTGCGACGAGAGAAAAACATGTGACAAAAACAACTGTCTCCGTCACAAGGACGAGAAAAAAATAAGAGAGATGGATAAGAAAGAACTTGAACTTGCGGGAGGAAAACTTGAGAAAATTTCAGGAAGCAAGTCTACAGTTTTGGTTTTAGGTGGGCATGTCAGAAGAACGTGTGGAGCTGTAAATTTGATCAATCAATCGTGATCTGAAAACAATGTTGCTGACTTATTATTAAGTATCCAAATTTAAAAATTTTACGAAAATAATGAAGAGGAGACCAGAATAGATTTAAATTCGTTCATGGTGAATGGAGTAGAAATATAAATTTTGGTGCATGAATAAATATTTGATTGGGATAGAATTTTGAGTTTTTGAAATAGCGTTTAAATATCTGGATTAAGATTCTAGCGTTGGTTTCGGTTTTTACAATTTTTTCAAATTTTTACGGATATAAATATTTATTTGTATCAAGTCAACGCCAAAATTTAATATTTCAATTGACAATGTTTAGTTCTAACTGAAAGATTTGGGATAACCAAAGGTTCATAAAATATGTATGAAAAAAAGAAGTGTTGTTTGTAAATGAGATTGTCCAAAAGTGAACAATCTCCAGTATTTCGACCTAATGTGGTCTGGATGGAAACGTTGAATTATATTGAGTTCTTATTTTGAATTTAAAAATTGTATTCGTTCAAGGCGATGTGCTGTATTATTTGGGTATAAAGAATGCTAGAAATCAATTTGTGCGGTAATATAATGGGATTTATACTAACAATGAGATGGTGTGAAGTGTAACACTCCGATTTTGTTGAAATTTTTGGAATTATGAAATTCAAGTCAATATAAGTTTCTTAACGCAGTTTGTGTGATGGTTAGAGTTTGTCAAAATATGTGAGGTCAAATTTGAAAAATTGTGATTTTTATCAAGCGGATGAAGCAAACTCCACTTTCATTCATAAAAATCGCAATTTTTCAACTTTGACCTCAAATATTTTGACAAATTCCAACCACCTCACAAACTGCGTCAAGAAACGTTGGTTGTATTGACTTCAATTTCATAATTCCAAAATTTCAACAAAATCGAAGTGTTCTACATACTTCACACCATCCCATTGTAAATATAAAATTTTGCAACCATCACTACGTAATAAACTTTTTAGCTCACATTTTTGTAATTTTAGATGCTCTGAAATGATTCTTATCCACCTAATTAAGGAATTCGGATTAAAACGTAGACTTCCCCGAAATTTTGCCCCATTCCGGCTAAGCCAAACGGTTTTTCCAATTTATTCATCATCTTGACTAACCCAGACTTTGCTAACTCATTCATGCCATCGTATTAGTGAGTAAAACACATAGTTGATGTCAGTGTGACTACTATCCGTAGTTCTCTGGAGCCGTGAAAGGAGGGGAGGCAGCCGGCTTTGCTTAATGAGATTTCTTTCCAGAAAAAGTGACTTGTTTTCTGTTAACGGGCTTTTAATGAGGTGCGAGAGGTTCAAATTGGAACTCGAAATCTCTCAAGTATCAACACAGTTCAAATTCAAGTAAAGTTAAGTTAAGCAACGTAATGGAGAAGGTGCAGTGTTTCGCAAACATTTTGTGTTAAAAATGAATTAAGTGTGCAAAAAAGTATGTAAAATTGTAAAAATTAGACAAATTCAAAACTTGCATACAGGCAACAACAAATTGCGATTCAGAAACGCAAAAAATAAATATTTATGAGTAATGTATTTATTATAAAAATTTGGGTAGATCGCACAAACAGAATTTCTTTGAGGACTTTGATAGCAATCTTGCAGTGAAAAACAATTTGTATCATATGTAAAACTTTCGTTTCCTAAAAGTTAATTGGGTAGGACTGAATTTTGGTAGTATTTTTTTAAAAAAAGTGTTTCGCAAACATTTTCTGTTCAAAATGAATCAAGTGTCGTAAAAATAAACTGGGTGTGAAAATTGCAAAAATTCATAACTTGCATATAAGCAATTGCAAATTGTTAGTCGGCAACGTCAAAGATAAATATTTCGCAATAATTAATTTATCCTGAAAATTTAATAGATTCGTAGAAAATAATCTTGTGCAGGACTTTGATAACAACGAAAAACAATTGTCATCCTATGTAAAATTTTCACTTTCTAAATGTTAATAGGGTAGGACTGAATTTGGTAGTATTTTTTCAAAATTATGAATTATGATATTACGGGTTAATTTAGAATTGGCAAGTAAAATTTTATATTATGACATTCTAATTTGAAAACCAAACTTTTTTTATTTTTAATAAAACAGGACTTTCACCCATTTCATGCAGAAGTGGGAACACTGATGCCGTGAATACAAAGAAAGCTGGCCGCGTGGGGGGTTGCGTCACACTTGTCGGTATTTAAACTCATGTCCTGCAAGTTTAGTTTACAGATGGGAAACTTTTCAGGAAAAGTTAACTCTGTTTTTGGTTTCCTTTCGTAAGAGTTGGGTCGGAGAGTTGAAAAATTGAGATAAAAAAGAATACTCTTCGGGGCAATAGGGTGCTGTTCAAGGAGAACGTCATCAATATTAGTAAGTTAGTCGACACTAATTTCCCACTATTTTCGGGTGTTAAATATAAAATGGAATATATGGATGACTTGTATCCGTCGTATTTT